AGCAACAACAGAGCTGATATATTGCCTTTGTACTTCATCAATTAAAGACCCACAAGCTTGGTGAGCCTATTTCCTTTACAAATTCCTTTAGAGTTAGGAAATGCTGATTCAACTTTGTTGTAATATAATGTTTGCATGCATTAAACGCCTACTGTTTAGTAGCTAAGTTTGTTATTCTTACACATGAGAAAAATGCAAAAGCCCTGATTTAAGCAACAAACACAACTTTACAGCTCTATGAATATTTCCAATGTAAAGATTTAAATGACATCTTTTTAAACTATGTACCTGTTCAATTTCTACTAAAAGACCAAGAATGCTAATTTAAACACACACTTCAGATATGATTATTTGAATTTCAACATGATCATTCTGCTACAGTTCACATTAATAACAGAGAAGAGAGAACTATTAAGTCTAGAAAAAATCCTCAGAAGGTGAGGGTTGGCATGCAAATGCATACATTCAGTTGCAAACTCTTTCTGACTCTGTCTTGGACAAAGCAGATGAACATAAATAATTTACAACAGATATGTCACATATGTGTAATTGAAAGCCAATTGCCTATCTGTCTTTTGTTATATTTTCTCTAACAAGACTACACTCACCTAATATGTATAACTATTCCCAAATATAAAATGCAAAAGCAAATTATGCTTATTTGTCAGTATTCTTTATAGCTTCTACATATTACTGAAGAGGCAAATTCTTTTCTTTCAGAACTTGTTTGCTAACATTTTATAACAACACTACCAAGATCACGTTTACGGAATACTCCAAGAGAGTTGAAGCAAACAGAAGGAAATCCAGTGGCCATCAATACACATTAGAATTCATGTTATTCTGAATTAAAGACCGACCAAACTACTCCATTCAAGAAATAAACCGATGGCCTCAGTAATCTTTTCTTCTCTTTCCAAATTAAAATCATTGCCTTTCTTCTTTGTGATCTCTAACAGGCTCTCTGAACACTATTCCTCCAGCAGGTTTATACTCTTCGGGGCATCTGAAAGAGGATCTGGAATCCACACCCTCAACAGGCTGGAGCTTGCCTACACATGGCAGAAGTAAGCAACACAATTGGTAAAGGTACAGCTAACGAGACTCAACAATCAGCCTAGGGCTGTGCAGGAATTAGAAGAGGCCTACAATGGAATCCTTAGAAGGCATGAGAAGAGACAGGAGTGGAATAAAAGGGGGCTGCGGAAAGAGGATATGTAAAGAGCCAGTTACACCAGCCTGGGAAGCATGGAGGCATTTTAGGGAGCTGACAGTTCATGGGGAGTAGTGAGTAGTAAAAGGGATGATAAAGTAGAGCAATAGGAAAATGAAATGTTGGAGATTTTAATAGTATGAATTTGGAGTCGCAAAGGATAAAAGTAGAATTAAATGTGTACTTTAAGTTAATCTTCTACTTAAGGTATACCACTAATGACTTGAAAATGAAAGACAAGTCTCTTACCTTTAGTGTGTCCATTTCCATACCCCGAAAATGAGTGTAAGACACTAGCTCTATAATACTTTCCATTTCTACTAGGCTAGAACATTAAAATATTTGAATTCTTTGAAAAAAGTTAAAAGTACTAGGCAATTTTAAAATGCACGTATTTGTGTAGCTTCGTGATCAGGGGTTTTCCTTTACTGCAATTATCTAAATGCATATGAATTTCTAAGCAAGGGTTTATTAATAGTAATGGTCACTCTTTATCTCATCCATAATACCTTCTATTTTTCTTTCTAGTTTGATTCTTTTCTGCAACACTTCACCATCAACTAATCAACCCACTCTTGTATACATAACAAGAAGTTGTGAAACACTAAAGTGAGATGATAGAAATTTGGGATACATTTGTCTACCATACACCTAAAAAGACTTTTTTTTTTGAGACAGGATCTTGCTCTGTCACCCAGGCTGGAGTGCAGTGATGTGACCATAGCTCACTGCAGCCTCAAACTCCTGGGCTCAAGTGATCCTCCCATCTCAGCCTCCCAAGTAGCTAGGAAGAAAGATTTTTCTTTGAAGAACAATTATTTCAATTAAAAATACTATCCACTTAATGAACAGTTTAATTTTTAAAAGCATTAGAATGGGGCATTGGAGTTGAGAAGACTTTGTGAAACATACATTCTTAATTATTGTTATCACCAAATGGGAGCATGGATCAGTACACCTCAAGAGTTTGGGATTTTAATCTCTACTTCCCATTCTAATTCACCATATGAATTTCATAGGAAAATAATTTTCCTTTTCAGTATTCTGGGCTTATATACAACTTGCCTCATTGCCATATTGGGCACCAACTTGAGGTATAAGGAATTTTGCTGTATCACCCAAACATTTGCTGGTAATGTGGTGCCCCAGAGAGTTTTGTTCTACCAATCACTATAGGGGAAGATAACATAATCCAATGATGAGAAAATTTTAACATATTTGCTATGGTTTGGATAACTGTCACCTCTAAAACTCATGTTGAAACTACCTCCAATGTGGATGTGGCAGTATTGGAAGGTAGGACCTAGAGGTGATCGGGTCATGAGGCTTCTACCCTCATAAATTATTAATCTATTCATGGATTAATAGGTTGATGGATTCATGGGTAATCACAGGAGTGAGACTGATAGTTTTATAAGAAGAAAAACCTGAACTAGCATGAACAATTCCCTCACCATGTGATGCCCTGCATCACCTCAGAAATCTGTAGAGTCCCCACCAGCAAGAAAGCCCTCCCCAGATGTAACCCCTCAACCCTGGACGTAGACTCCATAACTGTAACAAATAAATTCTTTTCCTTTGCAAATTATCCAGATTCAAGTATTCTGTTATAAACAACGAAAAATGGAGTAAGCATTTAATAACTGTACTCTTCTCAGAGTATCCTCTTCTCAGACACACTCTTTTAAAAGGAGTGTGTCTATTCTCTTCTCAGACACACTCTTTTAGAAGGATTATGCCACTCCTTAGGTGCAAACCCACTCCTTCAGAATAGTAAAGAGCCAGCCCTTCTCAGAAAACAGAATAATAGTATCCACTATAATGAAGTTCCCTCTACCATAGATTCTGGCTCTCCTCAAAGGCCTGCCACAAATACATCCCAAGTCAATAACAGCATTTCTCTTTTTTTAGTTGGGGAACAGACAGTGGAGTGGTGAAAAAGGATATTTACTGTATTTAGGTTTCAAGTATGCCAATGGTTATGTATCATTGAATATATGCTACAAGCACAAAATGCTAGTCTTTCAGGAGTTTGTTCGTCCTTTTTGAAAACAAAGATTACCAATATACTAAAACAAAAATTTAAATACTTTTTTGTCTCTATAATTATTTATTGAAAACATGCTATTGAGTGAAAATCATACAATTTCTTTCATGCAACACAGTGTGGGGCAAGTCTAAATAAATACCAAAATATTCTATCACAAAATAACATTAAGAAATGTATACATATTCTATTGTTTAATTGCAGAATGTACTTTCATCAATGATCTTAAAGCACTTTTTCAGAAATTAAAACAAACTCTTTATAATGAGGCACTGGGAAGCATCTGTGAAGTTAAGAGTTTCATCTCATGGATGACCACTGGGTCCTCTTAGGGCAGTACTGCTAGATATTGAACCGGAGAGCCCATAAATCTCATTGAAATGAACTGTATTAGCTTGTTTGTGAATTAATTTCATAAATACTAAAACAGATGTACATACAAATATTAGTCACTAAGATGGTCCTGACCTCACATGGCAAACCTAGCTGATGTCTCACCCAGTGTTTTCTCTCCATCAAGTCCCCAAGATCAGAGGGAGGGACCACCTCTATCTAGCAGGATTCAGAATGGAACCTAATAACCCCATCATGGCAACTGCCTATAGTGTTACTGTGTTCTGCTGTCAAAAAATGTCTTGGTCAAAGTTTCTTTTCATTCATTCTTTTTTTTAGAATTTCCTTTTACTTGGTGACTGTACTATCAGTGTTTTTTAATCTGTCAAGATGCACTTTGTAGGCCAGTGTTTTTATTTAACTGAAACTTCATAAAAATTGATACTGATATAATATACTAGTCAATTAAAAATAACTCTTCCCAAGCTCAAACTTGGGAAGTGCTGCTTATTGATGTTTCCTCAGGTTCTGTATCAGCAGCTACAAGAGAGCTAAGGCCGATCTCATATTCCTCTGTATGTAACCTACATAACCAGCACTGTCTTGCACTTTTTGCTGACCCCACACAGAGGAGTCACTAGGTGATGGAGACATCAAATTCAATCTGTTAACTTCCCCATTTTTACTAGAACAGATCTTATCTACACACTTCAAAAAAGAACTTATATCTGTATCATGACCCTCAAAGGAAGAGGTCATGATACAGAAGTCTAAGTATTTGCATGAAACGAATACTCAGATAATCCTATATTTTATTTTCTCGTTGGCACATTAGGTTTTTTTGTGATGCCACTTAGTAATACAGTTAGAATACTCTATAAAATATTGTATATCACCATTTCACATAGAGATTATAATTGAGAAATTTTTTTTAAAAAAACAAGAGAATTATTGAAAAGTTTAAATTCTATAATGTGAAAAATACTGAAAATATGCCTGAGAAGATCTTTCACGCATTTAATTAACAATGATAAACCATGACTTTCTAAACTATAACCAACGAAAAAAATTTTTAAAAAAAGAACTTTATTACACGAAGATACCTAGAACTAAACGAGTCATTGCCTGACCTAAAGAATTCCAGGTAAGTGAAGTTCACCTAATTTTAACCAACGGCTTTGGTTTCCATCTGAATGCCAGCCGGCCTAAGAGGAGACTGCTGCCTTAAAGGACAGATGAAAACGAAAAAGTTCTCAGGTCACAAACTTAGCTCAGATTCCAGCCCCAACAGATCTCGAGCCTGTGTGGCATCGCTTTCAACAGATCTCGAGCCCATGTGGCACCGCTTTCAGAGCTTCCCAGTCTGAGTCAAGCCCCCGCCTCCTCCCCTCCCGGGGCTGCCTCGGGGTGAGGTTTACTAACAATTTCTCCGAGCGCCGGCGGAGCCAAGGAGTGCTGGAATCCAGCGTCTGGGAGAGGCTTGGGACACTCTTCCTCTGCTTCCGCAGCCGCAAAGTAGGGCTGCCAGCGCCAGGATCGGCTCACACGCCGCTGCCGCCTCCCCAGCCCCCAAACGGCTGGGGTACGGAGGGAAAGGAGGACGCGAGGCTGTGCTACCCAACTCGGTAGAGTGAAGCCGAGGCCCCTTTGGCTGTCGAGGAAATCGCGGCTGGGCCGGCCAGATCCGTCTCACGGAATGCGATTTCCAGGTTCTCAGCGTGTTCCCGGCTCGGTGCTCGGTGTTCAAAGGGGTGGGGAGGGGCGAAAAGCCGTCCCCGGAGGCTGCTCAGCCTCCTGGGAAGCCCGCGGCTCTGGCTTCACGCGTCAGGCGCTCTCTCCGAGCCCAGCCGAGCCGGGCCCGGGCGCTCAGCCCGCGGCGCTCCGCTCTCAGCCGGGGACGTGGCTCTCCGTCTCCCGCCCGCGCCGCGCCAGTCCGGCGGGCTACCGGCCCGAAATTCCAGAAGAAACTTGCGCCGCGCACCCCAGCTCGCCCCTTGAGCCCCCCTCCGCTTACCGTTCCCCGCCGAGGCTCCGTCCTCTCCGGCGTCGCCTCCGCAGCCTCCAGAGCCCGCTCCCGACCCCCCTCACTCTAGGGCGCCCAGGCTCCCGGCCCCCTCCTAGCCGAGCCCTCCGCGCGCCCGCCGCGCCATGGGTGCTGGTGGGCTCCGCGCCCCGGGATGCGCTGCTGCAGCCTCGGGCGACGCTACTGAGAGCCGGGCCGGCGCGGGCGAGTAGGTGTGGGCGAAAGGGGTGGAGGGAGGGACGCGGCGGGCGCCGAGGCTCCGTTGAAGAGCAGAGGAAACCGCAACGTCACCAGAGCCCGAGGAGGCGAGGATGAGGAGGGGGAAACGGGGATCCCCTCCCCCGGCCGAACCCCGACCACAGGCCCGCCCCGCTTTCTCCCGCTCCTCCTCTCCCGGGACTCGCCGCTCGCAGCTGCGCCCGGCCTTCACCGCCACCCGGCCCCGTCCACCCTCACCCCTGCCCGCCAGGCCTCTTTGGCTGTAACTTGTTCTAGTTTCTTAGGAGTCAAACGCTTGGGGTTCGAGAATCTCACCCAAAGGAAAGGTAACTTTTGGAGGCCCAGCGGGAGGAGCTAATGCTTCCGCACAACTCTGGGAGAGGAAAGCGAGGAGAACGTTAAGAATCTTACTACCGGGGCTGGTGCCCACTCCCGTCCGCCTCCTCCCGAGTAGTTACTGCCTCTTTTCTCCAGAATTCGGTTTTACTCTCTTCTCAAAGAGAAGTTCGTGGGAGGGGGGAGTACTGGGGGGGGGGGCACCTATACAGAAGAAGTTCTGTCCTTTACTGTACCAACAAAATACTCTAAATCCAAACGCATCGAACCCTGCAAACTGAACAGGCTTGAATCATAGAAGGTCAGGAGCAAAGCGTTTAATGTAGGTAGCTAACAAGAGGAAATGTATCTCACAAGGTGGGGTGTGTGTGTGTGAGAGAGAGAGAGAGAGAGAGAGATCCCTTTCCTCATGCAGTTCACGTGGAGCATTTGCAACCCTGGTAGTCACAGCCTCTTGGAGAAGTGCCCTCTTGTTCTCCAGATATCAGCCACTCAGCCAGATACAGACACACTCAGCCAGGTCTAACCAGGCCCCAAGGAGATGTCAGGTATGATCAGGGCCATCACCTCAGGGATAATTCCCTGCCTCAGCGTGTACATGTAATTAACCTACCAGACCTAGATTGTACAGAAGTGAAAGATTTGTAGGCTACTTACCCATCCATTAAAATGGGAGATATTTTACTGGGAACAGTGCTGTTCTCCATTTTTGCTTCCGAGTGCTGTGAGTTCTGAAGGGTACCTCCATCCAATTCCCCTGTCCTCAGAGGTTCTCACTTCGCTTCGGCCATATTAGAAAAAAAGGTGGATGTCTCATTTTATGCTTCTCTTTTTCAGAAATTGCATTTAAGAGGAACTCCTTACAAACAAGTCAAGAGGAAGTGGTACTATTAAATTTTTTAAATGTCGCTCAGGTAAACCACTAATTTTCATAAACTTCTTGCTGCTTTAGGGAAAGCCTGTGGGTGAGAAAATAGGGCTCTGGAAATTGGAACTAAGTTTTGTTCAAATCCAAACTTTGCTTTTACTACTGTGGACCTTGGAAAACTAACATCAGAGCCTCAGTTTCCTCGTCTATAGTGTAGAAATAATACCTTGGTTGAAAAATTAGAGAGAGGATACAATGAAAATAGCTAATGTTTATTGAGAGTTTACTATACCATACCAGATGGTCACTGTGCTAAGGGATTTACATATACTAATTCAAGTATTGGAGAGAATAAATTGTGAAAGTGCCTAGCTGTACTATGTAATCCATAAGTGTTAATTTCCATTTATCTTCTCAAATTTGAAAGACTTTAGAAAAAAAAGCTGGTTTAATTTACTTATAATCTCTCTTCAAGTATCTAGTTCAATGATTCTCCAACCTAAAATTTTAGAATCAGCAGGGGAGCTATAATAAATTCTTTCCAATGGGGAGCCCCACACAGATCAACAAATCAGAATCTCTGGGGTTAGGGTCTAAGCATCAGCATCTGCATTTTAAAATCTCTCCCGTATGATCACAATGTGCAACCAGGATTGAGAATTCTTCAAAGGAGGCAATACTCACTGCCATTTGCTCCCCTTTATCCCCACACCCTCCACAATTTTGCTTTTGAATGACCTATGAATTGGCCTCTGGATGACATTCACTTCGTGCAAAGGGCCTCCCCATTGCAGTAAGTCTCAACGGATCCGCTGTTCTGCTCTCTGGAATCTACAGGATACACCTAGCCTTGATTCCACAGGAGAATACTTCAGTTTACCTGAGTACCTATTAACTTCATCAGATTTTCTTCATCCATTAGAAAAGCCTTCAGTAGATTTACTTTGCCAACATCTCTCTCAAACCCTGATTCCAAGAATTGAATTTAAGATTTAACCCAAGTGACAAAGTAGAAAGATGTTTAATGGCTTTGATGTAATTACTGTATTTCCCTAAGTATATCCTTGGAGCTTTTATGGCAGTAGTATTACCCAGTTGACTCCTATATTACAATCTACTAAATAAAATCTTAAAATGTTAAAAGGTTAATTGGAAAATCACTGAACTAGACAACTACACTCAATGCAGTGTTCGGCACTTAACCTGTGATTCTACTGAATTTTATTGTGTTAAATTAGACCTTTTAGCTTGTTGACATGTTGGGTATCATTGATATAACTCAATTTCATGACCTCTGTAAATCCAGTTTGTATGCCATGTCATCATTTAAGTTCTCATTCTCAGGTACCTTCCTCTGCCAGCTGACACTGTATTTAAATGCTACTGATAAAATTCTTATCAGTTGAGGACCCATATGTTACCTTGTCCTGTTTTTGTCTATTGTCCCAGGGTAGCAGCTAGTGTACATGGGTGCATGGCATTTCTGTAGGAATTAGAAAAGGGTACCCTTACTCTCACCTTAGCTGAATGATTAAGAAAAAGTGGCCCCTTACTCCTAGATGCAGCCCCAAACAGACATCAGAGCTTTGTCTATTGGATATCTTTGCTCTACTGTAATATTGTCAAAAAAAGGAAATGGGCTGGGCGCAGTGCTCACGCCTATAATACCAGCACTTTGGGAGGCTGAGGTGGTTGGATCACGAGGTCAGGAGATCGAGACCATCCTGGTCAACAAGGTGAAACCCCATCTCTACTAAAAATACGAAAATTAGCTGGGCATGGTGGTGTGCGCCTGTAGTCCCAGCTACTCGGGAGGCTGAAACAGGAGAATTGCTTGAACCCAGGAGGTGGAGGTTGCGGTGAGCCGAGATTGTGCCATTGCACTCCAGCCTGGGCAACAAGAGCGAAACTCCATCACAAAAAAGAAAAAAAAAAAGAAGAAGGAAATGACTACTTAGTGAATTCTGGTTTGCAAATTTGTGCCTGCCTTTTCAAGTGCCCAGATGTCATTCTAATAATAAGTTTATTTTGCTCAGTATCTGGGAAAAGTTTCTTGCCTTGGTTTCAGACTAAGGCAAGAACTGGAACTCCATTTGTCCACCTCCAGTTTTTTAGTGTTCATCTCCCTCTGTGCTGATTCTAGCTGAGAGTCCTTATTGGTAAACCCTCTTTGCTGAGATGGAAATTTACTAGGCAAGAAGAAGTTAAGCTTTAGACAGCTAGGACATATTTTCTTACAAGTTTCTTCGCCTATCTTTTCAGTTAACTCTTTGAAAGTTTATTTTATTTCTTACATTTAATGGTTTGCTTTTACATAATAGAAGACAAAAAAGGGAATTAGTTTTGTTTAGTCATCGATTTATCTTAAGCAGAGGCATCCCTTCCATGTTCTTCTCATCTGAACAAAATGAAATGTATTTGTTGTTGTTGTTTTCCTTAGTTTTTTCTTGGCTTTAGCCTAAAATAACAGACTAACAATATTATAGGGTTGTTACAGGTATGTGGTTTCTGTTCTCCCCTTGAGTTTAATTTATTAAACTAAATTTTAAGCTGCCTTTTAGGTTTTACCAATCAGTCAGCTGGTCCATGACTGTGCATCTGCTTCCATCCTTAAAATGTTTTTTTTTTTCTTTCTCAGGCTAAAATTATTCTATTTGTAAAACTGCTTTGCCCTGCACCTATAGATTCTCCCATCTTCAGATCACAGTAGAAATAAGATCATTTTGGTTTGCTTAAGCCATACTGCTACATACTTGTACTTACTGACTCCGTGATAATCTCCCGAGCTTTCCCTTCCATTTCTGAGCATTCAGCCCTGGCTAGGCATTCTCCAGAGGCTTCTCCAAGGTTCCTTGCTCAGGCCTGCCTCCCTGCCTTTCTCAGCACTAACATGCTCTTCTTCATTACCAAGACTGCTCTGCTGCAGCTGCTTCATCTCCAAATGACTCAATCTTCCTGGGCTTAGTTTTCATCTTTAAAACAAAATGAAACATTTACCTACATTCTTAATCATAATTCAGTTCCATCTCAACTGTGAGTCACAATTTGAGATTTCTTCTGCAGGTACGTATTTCCTGGCCTTGCAACCTTCTAATAGGTCATGAAATAGACCAGGCACATTCACATGTGTCTCCTTTTATCCTCACAGGCACTGACTGATAAAGAAACAGAGGTTCTGAACCTTAAAGTGAATTTCCCAAGCCATAAGTGGTTCAGACCACATATGATTATGTTTTCTTATATAAAACATAGATCCTTCCACCAAACCACTTGGCATAGACTAACTTTTTGCATCTAAAGCCTCATTTACAGTTTGAGTATCCTGGCCTCAGTTGAAAGCTATTCGCCACTCATTGACAAGTGACTTTTGAAATGGATGATTTTATATCACCTCTTATAAACTACCCAAGGTGTCCCAAACACCTTCTAAATTATAGGATTGTTCTCTGAAATTGCAAAAATTATTGGTATTTGCTACATGAATGAGATTAGATATTGTTCTTTTCCTCAGATTTACTGAATAGACCAAAAGGAGTGATCATTTAATATTATAGCCTCCTTCATGGTAGAGACTCTCTTCTTCATTTCTACAGCCATTCCTTATATTTCTTGGCAGAGGGCATCTTTATTAAATTAGAATTCAGTTTTCAGATTGTAGTTGTGTCCCAGTCTAGATACAGCGGTGGTTAATATAATGTGTTCATCAAATAAGAGCATGGACTTTGAAGTTGAACAAAACAAGCCTGATATCTAGACTCTCTGTCACTAATTGTGTGACCTTAGGCAGGCGAGTCATTTAATATCTTTGAGTTCTACCTTTTCATCAGTAGGATTTTGATATGTATACTTTTTCATACAGTTTCTGGAAGGAGCAAACAAAATGTTGTATATA